CACAGCAACCTCAAATTCTTGGGCTCAGGCAATTCTCTTGCCTCAGCCTCCCAAGTAGCTGGGACTACAGGCACCTGCCACAAAGCCCCGCTATTTTTTGTTGTTGTTGTTGCAGTTATCACTGTTGTTTTAGCTGGCCCAGTTGAGTTCGAACCCGACAGTCTTGGTGTATGTGGCTGGCACCCTACCTACTGAGCTACAGGCGCCACCTGGGGTCTCACTCTTGCTCAGGCTGGTCTCCAACTCCTGAGCTCAAGCAATCTACCCAGCTTGTCCTCGCAAAGTGCTGGGATTATAGGTGTGAGCCACTGTGCCAACGATTATTATTATTATTATTATTATTATTATTTGAGACAGAGCTTCAAGCTGTCCCCCTGGGTAGAGTGCCATAGCATTACAGCTCACAGCAACCTCCAACTCCTGGGCTCAAGCGAGTCTCTTGCCTTCGCCGCCCAAGTAGCTGGGACCACAGGCGCCCGCCACAACGCCCGGCTATTTTTTGGTTGCAGCCATCATTGTTGTTTGGTGGGTCCAGGCTGGGGATTTGAACCCGCCACCCTAGGTGTACATGGCTGGCGCCTTAGCCGGTTGACCTATAGGAGCCGAACCTCCCAGCGATTATTATTATCTTATTATTATTATTTACATTTTAGGGACAGAGTCTCACCCTGTCATGTAACTTGGTGCAGTGGCATGATCATAGCTCATTGTAGTCTTGGGCTCCTGGGTTCAATCAATACTCCTGCCTGGCTCAGTGCCTGTGGCTCAAGTGGCTAAGGCACCAGCCACGTACACCTAAGGTGGAGAGTTCGAATCCAGCCCGGGCCCACCAAACAACAAAGATGGCTGCAACCAAAAAAAAAATAATAGCCAGGCATTGTGGCAGGCACCTGTGGTCCCAGCTACTTGGGAGGCAGAGGCAGGAGACTTGCTTGAGCCCAGGAGTCGGAGGTTGCTGTGAGCTGTGATGCCACAGTGCTCTACCCAAGGGGACAGCTTGAGGCTCCGTCTCAAAAAAAAAAAAATACTCTTGCTCCTAACTAATTTTTTTTTTTTGTAGCTGGTCTTGTAATCCTGGTCTCAAGGGCTCCTCCTGCCCTAGTCTCCCAAAATGCTAGGGTTACAGGCATGAGCCACTGCCCCCAGCCTATTATTTTAACTCAGTGTTATAATCCATCACTATTATTCTTTCTGATGCTCAAATGGTCACAAACATAACCAGTGGGAGCCCCTCTGAGCCAGTGACTCTGTTCTCCCATGTTTTCACTGGGGTTGGAGAACACTCTCGCCTCTTAGCATGGGATTTCCCAGATCAACTTGAATGTTCCTTCAACCAGATCTGAGATTGGAAATTAGTAGAGAAAGCGTTTTAGATCTGGATGCTAGGAGTGCTCGTGATGAGTGGGACGCCGTTGCTTCCATGTTGTTTCTGGGATAGAGCCAGAAAAAACATTTAAAAACCAAAAACAAAACCCAAAGCTAGCACGAGTCCATGCTCACAGCTTCGGTTCAAATCCACCACATCAGCACTCTTCTTCCCAGTCTTTCCCCTTCCTATAGTGAATCATCCCGTTGCTATGGCAACAGAAGTTTCCAAGAATATTCATGCATTTACTTTCTTGTTCTATCCCAAAATACTCACAAAATAGTTTCAGGATTGTTTCAACCACAACACCATGAGAAACACCAATTCTGCTAAGTAAAATTCAAGGCATCTTCCCAGGGTTTTGTTGTTGTTGTTGTTGCTGTTGTTCTTAGTGTTCATACGTACAGCTGTGCTATCCGTTCAACATATGATTAGCTTAACTTTTTAGAGTCTGCTTTCTTTGTCTTTTAGTTTTTTTTTTGTTCTGAGACAGAGCCTCAAGCTCTCGCCATAGGGGGTAGAGTGCTGTGGCATCCCAGCACAACTCCTGGGTTCAAGTGAGTCTCCTGCCTCCACCTCCCAAGTAGCTGGGACTACAGGTGCCTGCCACAACACCTGGCTATTTTTTGGTTGCAGCCGTCATTGTTGTAAAATACGGAACACTTCACGAATTTGTGTATCATCCTTGTGCAGGGGCCATGCTAATCTCTGTATCGTTCCAATTTTAGTATATGTGCTGCCGAAGCAAGCAATGTCTTTTAGTTTTTATTTAATTTTTTCTATTTAATCCACCATTTTATCCAATTTTCATTTTGACTAAAAAGTCAAAACTCAGAAAAAGAAAGAAAAAAGTCAAAAGTATATAAAAAGGTATACTCAGAAAGAAGTCTTAGCTTTGTTCATATTTCCGTTGTTCCTATTTACTCTTTTAGAGGGAACTATTTACATTTGTTTCTCATTTATTTTTCTTATGTTTCTTTTATTTATTTTATTTATTTATTTTTTTGAGACAGAGTCTCACTTTGTCACCCTTGGTAGAATGCTGTGACAGCACAGCTCACAGCAATCTCAAACTCTTGGGCTTA